CCCTCCGGTGGGTGGGTCCATTCTATTGGTGGGGAGCTGCACCTGCTGGGAACAGGGCCCAGCGTCCCTTAAAAGAAAGAAACGTTTTTTTTGTCCTTCACCCTTAACGCAAAACATAGCTCATGTTCGGATATGCAAAAAGCTTGCCCAGTCAGAATCACCAGGTGCTTCAGATGCCCAGCTACAGCAGCGCACTCTTTTATTTTTTGGCTGGCACCACCAGCTATTGTGGTCTGCTAGCCCCGAGTCCCAAAAAAATTGGAGTTGGCAACTCGCAATTTTCTGCAAGGCTGGGGGGTATAACACAAAACATAGCTCATGTTAGGAAATGCAAAAGCTTGCCCGGTCAGAATCACCAGGTGCTTCAGGTGCCCAGTTACATGATTTCGGCCTGGACGTGCAGATGCCCAAGAGCATTCCGGCTGGGCTAGTTTAGCCCTTTCAAACACAAAAGGACAGCTGGTCCACTACCCTTAACACTGACATAGCACCGGCATGACCTGGCCTTGATGCTTTGTATAAGAGGACAGGACTGAGGACAGAGCGACATTCAAGGGAGGGCAAAAGACACTACCTATGCCTGGGTGCAAGACCATATAAGACGAATGTGACACATGCAAGACGGGTGGCAGAGGGAGTTTCAAGGTGGGTCAAGAGATGCTGAACACAAATCAAGAGCGAACGGCCTGATAAGCACCCTACGTAACTATTGCACAAATTGCATTAGTTTGTTTTGTGGGGCAAAGGCAGCTGCAGCACAACCCGAATAAGCAAAAAAAAACACGCACCAGCAAAACAAACAGCGGTCAATTTCCGAAAGGCAATGAAAGTACTGAGGCCGTGACAGACGCACAGATGTCATAACTACAGGGGCCGGCCGTGGTGCCAGACGGGAAAGGGGGTGGGAGGGAATGGGGAAATTGCATCTGCGGCAGATGAGTGACAGTAGGAGGAAGAAAAAGGAAAAGCAAGAGAGAGAGGGATTCAAAATCTGTAATGATGCAACAGACTGAAAACGGGCCAATGACAGTGGCTGGGCACCTGCCAGCCGTTCGCACCTTGTTGCCACTGAATGAAATGAGCTGACCTCAGGGGTACGAGCAGCTATTCAAAATGGGACTGGTGGCCCTCCACATCGGGCTACGGGTGAGGACCGCTCTACACCTGTGAGCAAAAATGTGGCAAAATGTTTGGCCAATGGAAAACCGCCTTATGGGCGCCCTTGCCTCAAATTGCTTCCCCCAAAAAACAGCCCGCCTATGCACCCTACGATCCCTCCACATCAGTGCTGAGAAAAGATGTCACACACAACAGAGGTCCCCGACCCCAGAACAAAGCCTCCGCTAGTGGGACTTGGTCCCCACTATACCCAGTCCCAGCGCCCAACTTGTATTTGTACCCAGACCCTGTTCATTTATTTATTTATTTTTAACAGAACCTTATGGCTCTGGCTCCTTTTCCATTCTGGGGAGCATCAGTCCGGTTCCTATTCCACCGGCAAGTCAAAAGGACGTACATGAAAGACTCACACATGCTCTTCCCCTTTACAGTAGGGAAGTCCGATTACTTCTTGCCGGAAGGATGTACCACCCCTCACCCCTGCCTAAGTTAGCCTGCTTTCTTTCGTTTGATTACTAATACATAGAAACAAACCTTTTTTTTGTGGTCCCTGTAGATTTGCTTGGATGGGTCTTGTCTTTCCTGTTCCTCTCAGATCTTTGACTGCCTGATTCACTTTAAGTGCTAGAACTGTAGACTTGTCCCTCCGATTAGGTTTTGCCTAACCCTATGCACTCTCCTTTCTAGTTTCTGATGTTTGTGGTTGCGTTAAAACCCTAACCTGCCTTATTTAAACTTCCTCTTTAACCAGTTCTAACTGGTGCTAAAACCCTAAACCCTATCACGTTTGGCAAGCCTGTTAACCATATGATTGACCTCTCTTCTTATATTCTTATTTATTTTATTTCATTCGTTTTCTTCAATAATCAAGATTCTGTCATTATATTGGTATTTTATTTCTCAATATATTCTATGTATGGTTTGTGACCCTTTCCCTGCAGTTTTCTCTCTTTACTAGATAGTACTGCCTTTTGGGAACTGTTTTTGGGGTGAAACTGGTACTAGAAAGCTGAATTGAGAAGGGCTTGTGTAGGTAGGTCTGGGTTGGTTGGTTGTCTATTGTGTTTAGGAGAGAAATGCCTTGTCTGGGGGGGGGGGTRKTCKGGGGGGGGGGGTAGTYTGGGGTCAGGGTAGTTTGTTGAGCGCTAATTGGGCCAGGAGCAGGACAGATATGAGGGGTTGAGGGGTTTGTGGTGGAGCTGGGGTAGCGTGCTTTCTTATGTAGGAGAAGATGCCTATGCAATAACCTGCTCGATATGCCCTGTTGTTGTCCGATGGGCACCCGCAGGCCGCAACCCCGACCTAAGGCCGCGATGATCGAGGGGAATAACTGCCCCGAAATTGGCTTCAGGGCCTGTGCGCCCGACAGTTGATTTTGGTCAACTGCCCAGCGGCCCACGAGTCAAAGTCTGCATGGACCCAGCCCAGGCCGCCGGTCAGACACACACTTGTTTGTATGCAGGTATCAAGACAGCATTCTGACCAAGTGGAAGTCTGCAACTGTATGAGATCCAGGCCGTCGGCTGTGAGTCAATCTGAGCCACCGTGGGTGGGAGACCTGAGGCAGGTCAACCTCCTCAAACGCTACATAATGCTTTGCCTCCAGGGGGTCAACATTCAGTCTCACTATGCTGACTTGACGCTGGCTTGAGGCTGGCTGGACGCTGGCTGGATGCTGGCTTGACGCTGGCTGTACAGTGGCACTGTGGACGACGACACGAGACTGCTGCGTGTGTGCTGGCGCCTTCCTGTCTTGGCGCCAGCTGTCTTCTGCTGCCGTGGCGCAAGCCACTCTGTCTTCGACACTGCTGATGTGGTGCATACCACTCTGTCTTCATCACTGACGTGGCATTTGCCACACTGTCTTCATTGCTGACTTGGACGCGACAAGGAGGGAGATCAGGATATGTGCATTGAGAGAGAGAGAGGATACTTACCTGTTGCTGACGTCAATACTGCGTGCTGCTGTCTTCACGGGAGAACTGTGCCGCATGGCACTTTGATGTGATCGGACCTGTCAGGCTCGATTCTTGGACACTGTTTGCTGACGTGGAGGAGAGGGGAGGCCCGGAGAAGGAGAGGGAAACGAGGGCTGCTATCTATGTGGTCATTGATGGATACCTACTCTTCCACCCTCCAGGTCTGATGTCCCCCACCTCTCCTTCGTCCATTGGCTACGAGACATTGTATCATGGATCACATATCATAATTATTGGAGACTTTATTCAGCGCTGAGTTATCCTGTACTTCGACACTTGACGAGTTTCCTCCAGACTGGGTTCATTACAATTTGGTATCAGAGCTTACCTTCTTCGTCGCGATCTGCTGTCCAGCGCCAGGTGGCGCCCAGGTAAGTGCCGTGAGGTGCCGCGCACATTTGAATCGCGTCTTTTGACGTGCGCGATTATTATCGCGGTCTAGACATTTTACTCGCACGCGCGCACCATCCCCCTGAAGATGATGACGTGGACCTTCTGAAGAAGACGGCGACAGTGCTGACGCGGCGCATTGTTGCTGATGTGGCGATCAGTTACCGGCGAGAGCATCGCTGGCTGCCGGCTGACATGGCCCTGGTGATCGTGAGAGAGAGAGAGTGGGATATCGAGACTGCTGACATGGCGCGCTGCCTACATGGCATGGCGCGAGGGTTCTGACGTGGCATCCAGGGATTGGCAAGGTATTGTCTGATGTGGCACGTACCTGTGTCGCGACTTACCTGCTGATGTGGCGCTCCATACTCCAGCAGTACCTTCGATCTGACGTGGCATACCAGTGGTGGATGATCTGGCAGACGGCACGTCGCTGACGTGGCACCCTTCTTGACGGCCTACTGGCCATTGACGCTGACATGGCAACTCCGTGGAGGTGCTGCGTTGGCATGCCAGCGTGACACGTGGCAGTGGACGTGCCCTGCCGCTGGTGAGAGATTGATACTTGCACTTGTGTGCTAGCGGGCAGTACAGCATCACGATTTGGCTGTAGTGCCACGCGTCGGCCCTTGTGTCTGGCTGCATTGTCATTCACAGAGGGACAGCCAGAAAAGGATGAGCTGCTGACTTCGGAGAGAAAAAATGCGCGGGAATCATTTTTGTCTCTCACAGCCGCGCTATTATCTGCGAAGGTCTTGCGTATATACGACCCGCTATTGCCAACGCGCGTCACTACGGATGCGTTCGGCTATGGCATTGGTGCCGTCCTCAAACAACACGATGGCGTGGACTGGCACCCGGTCGAGTACTTCAGCAAGAAAGTGCCCGTCGTGCACTCCATTAATGATGCATGCAAGAAGGAGCTCCTAGCCTTCGTCCACGCGCTCAAGCGGTGGCAGCACTTTTGCCTTGGTCGAAGTCAATTCCGATGGGTAACGGACAACAATCCGTTGGTCTTCTACAAGGTCCAAGACACCGTCAATAGCACCATCGCCCGTTGGATGGCTTTCATCGACCAATTCGACATCTTTCCCGATTACATTCCAGGGAAGTCTAACCGTTTTGTGATGCTCTTTCACGGCGTGCGGATCATTGTACCGCAGTCTATTCGACCTTCGAGATCGGCGACGACCTGCAGGACAGCTTCATCTGTGGCTACCAAGCCGACCTCGAGTTTCGCGACAAGTACCCAAATTGCTCCTCTCCTAATCCGGCACCTTCTCACTACCGGATCCAAGAGGGGTACTTGCTTGTCCACACGTGGGGGAAGGACCTTCTTTGCGTACCAAGTGACTCTCACTTGCGTACACGGCTTCTTAGCGAGTTCCACGGTGCTCCCGCCACCGGACACTTTGGAGTCAATCGCACGATTGGCCGACTTCGCGAGCGATTTTGGTAGCCCGGCCTTCTCAACGATGTCACACGCTATTGCGAGTCATGCGAGGTTTGCCGACGCTGCAAATCCCGCAACCATCGTCCGTACAACGAGTTGCGACCAATACCGGTCCCCTTGCGCCGAAGGGAAGCGATTGTCATGGACATTACCGTGTTGTTCCCCAAGCACAAGATCGGAGTGGATGGGATTCTCGCGGTGGTCGACCGACTCACCAAGTTCGCCATGTTTTTGCCTTGCCGCTATCATGCCAAGGCACCGGAGTCGGTCGAGGTTCTTTACGCCGATTGGATTCGAACCAAGGGTTACCCCAAGGAAATCGTTTGCGACCGCGACACTCGGTTCATGTTCGATTTTTGGTTGGCGCTCATCAAACGATGGGGCTCATTTCTCAAGCCAAGTTCGGTTCGCCACCCCCAAATCGATGGCCAAACAGAGAGGGCGCATCACACCGCACAGGTTCTCCTTCGTACTCTCATCCGTCCCGACCAAAAGCATTGGGTTGAGCGGCTGCCGGATGTCGAGCTGGACTACAACTCGTCCATCCACCCGGCTATCGGGATGTCACCCTTCGAGTTCGAGCACGGCTCGCCGGTCACTTCTTCGTTGGACACAATCATTCCACGAACGGCCGGGAGCGGCGACCATCTTCTTTTCTTGAGTCGAATGCAAAAGCTACTTCTCAAGGCACACGACCAGATGGCTAAGACGCAGCAACGCATGAGCCAACAGGCCAATCGCCAGCATCTTCTTTGCCCATTCCGCGCCGGCGATCTCGTCTCGGTTTCCGCCGCAGAATTCAACCTTGAACAAGATATCTCTCGCAAGCTCCTCCCGAAATGGATGGGGCCCTGGCCGGTCGTGGCACCTGCTGGGGATGCACCCGGAGGACCTTCTTTCACCATTCAGGTGCCCGCCCGCTTGCCCGTCTATCCGCTCTTTCATTGCTCCAAGTTGGCTCTTTACACGCCAGCAGAACATGACGATTTTCTCGCGCGACGATCGCAAGACCCATCATCTATGGACAGTTTTCAAGAGGTCGGCGACATCATCTCCCAGCGACGCTACAGCAACAGGCCAACCGAGTACTTGGTACACTTTGCGCACTGCACTCACAAAGTTGACCATTGGTTGACACATGCGGAACTCCAAGCAACAACTCCAAATGTTCTCGCATGCTACGAACGCAAGATGCAAGGCAAGCCGGTATCTTCAGCTCCACGTCGCACCCACGTTCAGGCTCCACCTTCGGATCGTCACCTTCGCCCTCGACCCGACTTGACTTCATAAGGAGGGGGGGGTGTTTCATACTGCGCCTGCAACAGGCTGCACAGGCCATTTTCAGGCCCGTGGCGTTTTCAGCCCGAAAGCCTGAAAACAAGGGCCTACAGGCCCTGTGTCGTTTCAGCCTGAACGCCTGAAAACAAGGGCCTACAAGCCCGGTGTCGTTTCAGCCTAAAACAGGGCCTTTCTGGCCCTGAGTCTTTTCAGCCTGAAACTGAGGGCCATTTTCAGGCCCTCATCAGATCGACCTGCCCAGAAACTCAAGCACCAGACCAGGGTTTTAGCACAGGCCATTTTGGGCCTGTTTTCAAGACAACCCTTCGTTGAGCTTCAACGCCAGGGTCTGGCACGTTTTGGCATTGGCAAGAGCAGCCTCTTGGACGGGCCAGCACTATATAGGACTGGCCCGCCCTGCAGGCTGCAGGTAGTTCCTACGCACTTCCCAAGCACTTCACGTGCAGTTCAGGAGGCAGGAGGTAGTCTTCAAGATTCGACAGCAGCACTCTGGAGGAGCGCTGCAGGAGTAGTAGTAGCGCTAGCAGTAGTCTTCAGCGCTGGGCGCTAGTAGCGTTAGCAATAGTCTTCAGCGTTGGGCGCTAGTAGGAGCTAGAGTAGTACTGGAGAGAGAGAGAGAGAGAGATTGGGCGGAGGCCAGGGAGACTTACCTGCAGCGCCATAGCTCCAGCTTCGTCTTCGAGGTACCTGCAGCACAACGAAAACTTCACAGGTTAGTACCTGGCACGTGAGAGAGAGAGAGAGAGTTCTTCTTCCTCTTCTCCATCCACCATCTCCCTCTCACCCTCTCGCTATCTGACGTCACTGCATCAGCAGACTACGAGAGAGAGAGAGAGAGAGAGAGAGAGAGAGAGAGAGAGAGAGAGAGAGAGTTTGGTGACATTTGGATCCAGACTCGACATTGGGCTTCAAACATTTTGACGAGGGATTATTTGGGACTTGTAACGAAAACTTGGTGTTGACGATTTTCCCATCTCCCCCCTCCTCTTCTTCGTTTGTCTCCCTCCTCTTCGTTTGTGCATGATCTAGACCTGGCGCATTCTTCATGCGTGTAGCGCTAGGCCCCCTTCCCACCTTGTGATGAAGATGATGTATGTTTAGTCTGTATTGCAACATTGATTGGGCTCGTCATTGGTATTCTCGCATTCTGTTGCATTGTCTTGTACTACGTGAAGGAGGTCAGTCCCGATCAGGTCAGGACTTGTATCTAAGCCTTCCACTGCGCTATCAAGCACCATTTTTGTATGTATCAGGATGTACACTGCTTGTTGAGATTTCATAGCACGACATTGTCCATTCAGTCCTTTTCAGCACATTGCGGATCCTCGGTTATATATGAACATCGCCCTACTGGGCATGTAACAGGTGGTGAAATAAGGACATGTGGCCAAGTGGAGAACAGACGGCAGCAAATGCTAGCCCGTCTTCGCCAGTTGCGGACTGAGTTGCATGGCGCCAGTCCAGATGCTGAACAGCACGTACGCAGCCAGTTCGATCTGCGTGCTGCAGAATCCGAACTAGAGCAGGCTGAAACGGCTGTTCATATGCTGGAAGTGAGCAGTCGAGTGCAGCAAATTATTGATCGGGGCCGAATAACCCTTGACCAATACGTTGCAGAGCAGCTGGCTAAGATTGCTGGTGACATGCCCAAAGAAGAAGAACGAGGAGAGAGAAGCGAAAAGAAAGAAGAGCCAGAACTGTCTGAGAAGATAATGGAGGGAAATATCAAACGATTGGAAGATGCATTGAATGCAGAGAGGAAAAAGATGGAAGACTACCAAAGGAAGAAAAAGGAGAAAGAACAGCATGAAAGGAAAGTAGGTGAAATCAGACAGCGTTTTCACTTTGACGGAACAGAAACTGATCCTGCATCTGTATTGAATACCATGATGGCTTATCTCGCCCACCTTGAAATGAAGATTGACAACAACACCGTCGAGCTGCAAACAATGACACGGCTTGTGAAGATAAAGAAAAAGGTGGTGATTGAGGAGGGGGGCAAGGGGAAAGAAGAGAAAGAATCCCAAGAAAAATTAATGAAGGATGCAATGAAAATAAAGCAAGTGACATCGGAGACACCCGAGACTTCCAAGAAACAATCCGAAGAACCGGCGAAGGAACCCACTAAGACGGAACTGGCCAAAGAAGCGGAGAAACCAAAAAAGAAAGAAAAGGTAAAGATGAAATTGTCATTCACATACAACAACAAGAAAGGAGAGAACTTGTTGTTATAGATAGTTGAGATCCAGACTTATTGTAGCACCACTTCGGTCGAACCTGAGAGTCAGGTAGCCTTCTCCACATCATGCTTGGGAGAAGTGGCCAAGGGGTGGGTCCTCTCATAGGCCAACGCCGCAGGATTTTAGGACATTGGTGAGTGGGCCAAGACTTTGACACTCAAGCAGTTTCTCCAAAAAATTAAGGAGAGATTTCTTGATAAGACGACAATCGATAAGGCTTTCGATGAACTCACCACCATTAATCAAAAGCGCTAGTCTTTTGTTGATGCATTGTCTCGTAAGGTGGATCGTCTATTGCAGGTACCTGGTCTCAATCTGCAGGACAACCAGGTTCTATATATCTACTCGCGTGCATTGCCTAAGCCGATTCGCTGACAGGTCGTGGCCGATGCGAAGTCAAGTATAACTATAGGCAATTTTGTGATCTTGCTCTTCAGCGCGAACAAATGACGGCACAGGTAAAAGGAACCTATGCGTCAGTGGTAAGAAATGGTCCGGTTGGTGGGTATGGGAAGCGTGTCCTGTGGCGGCAGAAGTGACCGGATCACATGCTCTTTGTCTTTGACGACGACACTATGGAGGATCACAAAAAAAACACCAATTCGTAGAAATATGGCAGTTTCGATGAAAAATCCGCCAAAAAAGCATATTTCCCTGAATTGGTGTTTTTTTTGTTTGTTGTTTTTTTGTGTGATATGTATGTGCTTCAGGGTTATCTGTATTCAGTTTCGATGCATTTGGACCGCCAACAAAAAAGTTGGCAAAAACACCGAATTCGAAAAACAAATTGGCGAACACCGAAAGTTACTCCGAACAGGGTTTTATAGTGCTTCTTAGTTTTTTTTTCCGTTTTTTTTGCCTGTTTGTTTTTTTTATGTTTGTATGACGAGCATGCATTGTTTGTTCGCAAATTTTTTGACGACATTGCCTGTGGTGGTGCGGCAAAAAACCCCGAATTTTTGGTCTTCCATTAACCATCTCTCGCCATCCACAGTGGAGACCAGAGGAGCAAAGTCCAGATAAGCGCAGCTTAGAAATTACAACAAATTATCATATTAAACAGTTTCAGAGTTCCAGCCACCAGCGCAGAGTTCAACAACCCATATCAAGCATCCTCATTCAAGGTAGGTGACTCTGTGTGTGTGTGTGTGTGTGTGTGTGTGTGTGTGTGTGTGTGTGTGTCTACTAGAAGATCTTGACTCTGAATACATCCGCTACTACTCAGCTCTACCTCCTACTACTAGCTGCGGCTATGGCCGCCCTCCTTCCTCAGCGCAGCGCTGCCCCGCCAGGGATCTAGCGCTAGCTACTCGCAGATAGCGCACAAGCGCCAGCAGCACTTCCACACTTCTTGCGAATGAGCAATCTGTCTGAAATGTGGCTGGCCAGTCCTTATATTAACTTGGACTGAGCCTTGACTACTCCTACCCTCTGCTTCTCTTGGCCTGACTTGGTCCTGATACCAGCTGCCTGCGGCCTGTTTGCTTCAGAATGTTGAGGTCCGGTACCTTCCTGGGTTTTCCTTGGTGTGCTGCTGCTTTTAGGTCTGTGGAGCGTGACTCTTGACTGTGAGTCGTGACCCTTGCCTGTGGGATATGACCTTTGGCTGTGAGACACGACCTTTAACTATGGGACATGACTTCTGCCTATGGAATGTGACTTTTGCCTCTTGGATGTGACTGTTGACCGGGTACCTGTCAGACTTGACCTCTGGGGTACCCGACAGAACCTTTCTGAAACTGACCGACCTGGCCCCTCTCGGCCTGGGAATTTTTACCCTGAGATTCGAATTTGGGGTCTGCATCGTGGAATGCCTTTCATATACGTGTACCCAGTCACACAGGCCCTTGGTTGGGGAGCCCCAAAATATACTTATGCCCAGAAACCGGGCAGGCAAAATTGGGTGTGCAGTGTGCACATAATTTGCCCAGGTATGGGCATAATCTGAGCATTCCGGTAGTTGGGTATATCTACAATTTGGCAGTACCAACCTTGGCCCGCCTTGGTCCTCGGGCATGCAACTAATTTGGAATGACCAATTACCGGGTACAGATGGACGTTGGGCACTGGGACTGGGTATAGTGGGTATTCCCATATTTTAATGGGCCACAGATGCAATTTTCCCTTTAAAAACGTCTATTTTGACTGAAATTGCCATTTCAACTCGAGCCATGAGCACAGTGCCAATCAGTGCTTTTTAGCCTTTTCCAACTCAAAACCCACCATTGTTTCTTGTTGTTGTTGTTTTTTTT